GGAACATACTCCATCTGTCTCATTAAATATGTCTATTATTGATTTTTTTGGTCAATATTTTTTCATTTTACTTATTATTATTTAAAATTCGTTGTTGATAAAAATAAGAAAAGTAATATTTTAAAAACTTTAAATCAGGTAGTTTTTAAATATACAATTTACAAAATTTAATTATTTAAATATTTAAAATACTTATGTCAAAGTTTTAAAATGTTGACTTTTAAAAAGTTAATAATAGACACAATTAATGGAACTACCAAAGGAGTTGTCAAAAATTTGTCTTAACGGAACTGTGTAGCGACATGTCTCAACTATTTTCGATCAATTGATCAATCAAACAAAAGAGTATTTTTTTTCTATATGTATTTTATTTATTATTTAAGAAATTTGATTTCGTTTGTTTTATTTTTCTTAGGTGTGATTATGGTATCAGATCGTTATACTTTTGATAATCTCAAGCAGTGGTGGATCCATAAATTTAAGAATGGGAGTCCAAAATTTTAATATTATTTTCTTAAAAATAATGGGTATGCAATTTTTTTTTCCATTTTTTCTTGAACTAAATTTCAATTTTTTCTTAAATAATGGGGATGCACTTGACCCCCTACGGGCTTAGTGCATCTGTCCCTGATCTTAAAGCATGTGATTAACATATTTTTATAATGATATGATTATTATTATAGTTATTATTTTTCTATTTCATTCTCGGATGAACGTATTTTTTCTGACATTTAATACTTCATTACTTCTACATATGACTTCAATAGGTATGGCAGGTGAAAAATACAAAATCAATAGGTCAGATGATTATTTTATAATTTTTTATAGTTAAAAGATCAAAAGACAAAAGCATTACTAATCAATTGATTATTTGTGTAGTTTACCCTATAAATTTCCCATTAATATATAATGTCGTGTGATCAGCAACAATTCTAATACAATAATTAGACTAGAAAATCTAACATTATTATTGATCCAATAAACACGTCTTAATCCTTCATATCACCTGGACACAATTTTTATCTCAAAATTTGTGGAAATGTGTCAGTGATGAAATGGTTATTTTGTTAAGAAAAGAGGAGATAGTTACCTTGTTGATTGAGCGATATATTAACTTCGAAACTTGCGACGTAATCGATTTGGATGAAGTTTGTTCTTAACGGAACAAAGCTTGGCAACGACATAGCTCATGTTGATCCGTTCATTCGGTGATTCAACAGAACATGCTAGTCTTATTTCAAATATCGAAATCAAGCATCGAAGATGTATCTTATTTCCCAAGTTGTTTCCACGGAGTATAATTTTTGCTATTTCTCCTTGTCTAAGTCTTTCTTGAAAGAAGAAAAGGATCTATAATCTCCGTCATCCTTTCATCCAAAGCAGCCTTAACAAAGTTGTGAAGACTGAAACCTTCTTTAAACCTTTCATCGGTCGTTATTTTTTCAAAAAACATCTCTAGCAGGAGGATGCCATAGCTATACATATCACCTTTTGTTGACAACTCACTTCCAATGCTATATTCTACATTAGCTCATCATAAATTACACGTAAAAATAATTGCAAAGGAAAATCTCCATAAATACAAAAAAAAACTTATTTTATATTTGTATGTTTTTCTTTTAAATAATTGAAGAAATGAATAAATTGAACTTACCTGGTGGTGCATAACCAATGGTTCCTATTAATCTAAGAGAGCTTGACTGATTAGCGGAATAGTTAGGCATATTTGCATAGAGAACTTTTGCTGAGCCGAAATCACTTATTCTATGGGAGAAGTTTATGGTTTCTCATCGTATGTGATTCATTGATAACATCATTAGATGGATGTAGCCAGTGCTCCAAGCTTCCATATGCCATGAACTCGTACACCAACGCTTTAAAATCATTACCTTTGTAATCGACACTTGAAATAGCTATTAATACCTTGACAAGATTCCGATGTCGAATGTTTTTCAAGGTCTCACATTCAATCAAGAAACTCCTGGAAGCTCCTCGATTTGGATGATTAAGCACTTTTACTGCAATAGTTGCTCCACTCTCTTCAAGAATTCCATTGCTGACAAAACCAAAGCTTCCGGATCCAAGGAAATTTTGCGCAAAGAATACATCAGTTGCCTTTAGGATGCTTTGGTAAGATAATTGTAAAAAGGATTTTTCTGTTCTTTCTTCTTTCTAAACCACAAGATGAGGAGAGAAGTGAAAACCGAAGTCACTCCTAAAATAACAACAACAATTGCAATTTTCAAGAAAGTGTGTGAGGTTGTTTTCGAGATACATTTTGGTAAGCGTAACTCGGGGATGCCTCCACAAAGCTCTGTTTCCCTCAACGAACATAGCACTTACATTCCTAATGATTCTTTCAGTTGATATCACTCCATCAAAATCATTAAAAGAGAGAATTAAATACTTTAATGCCACAAAACTCATAAGAAATTCTTGAACTCCACCTGAAAGATTATTGTCAGATACGTCTAATGCCACAAGACCTCTCAATGAAGTAAAACATGAAGGAATAGGACCTTCAAAATAATTGCCATACAAGAACAATTTCTCCAGACTTGCACAACTGCCAAGATCGTTTGGAAGTAAACTAGATAAGCTGTTTTGAGAAACAAGGAAATCACCTAGATTTTTTAGTTTTCCTACTTCAACCGGAAGCTCTCCGGTCAAGTAGTTTGATGACAAGTCTAGATTTATAGACATGGATGAGATTCTAAGTACTTCAAGTGGTATTGATCCACTAAGATAGTTGTAAGAAATACTCAGTAAGAGCAAATTTTAGCACTTACCTAGACTTGCGGGAATGCTTCCCTGAAGATTATTAGAATCTAAACCAAATTTGGTTAACATAGTTAAATTTGCAATAGACTCGGGAATAGTCCCAGAGAGAAAATTAGCCTGAGCGCGAAATAGCTTTAGCTTCTGAAGCCTCCCAATATAAAACGGAATAGGACCTGACAGTTGATTAACACTTGCTGCTAGAATCTCCAAATTAATGAGGTTTCCAATCCCATCTGGCATATTCTTCCCACTATTTTGTTGTCTTCTATTACTAATTGAGAAAGGGTGCTAGAAAAGTTGCTAATCCATTGGGGCAAAACCCCTCCAAAGTTATTAGTGTCGATACGCAAGTTTTTAAGTTTGGTATTATTGACTAAAGTGTAGAGAACTTTATCCGCTGACTAGTTTATACCACTGAACTTTCAATTTTACCAATTATAATACTCAACTTTAGTTTTGTAATGCAGCTTGTAAAATTGAATGTAAAATTGAAGTTCAGTGTTATAATTGACAAAATTGAAAGTTAGTGGTGTAAACAAGTTAGCGGACAAAGCTCAGTGGTATCTGGAGTAGTTTTCCCTAGTTTTTATTGCAGAATTTCTTCGTTAAGAAGCTGATTCAGCTTGATGGAGCTATCAAAAAAGCAGTTGGTAACATCCAACTCTCTTATCCTTGTTTACATAGAAGTTATTCATCTTCTATCATGCTTTTGCGTTGCTCGAGTGACAAAGGAATTTTTTGGATAAATGAAGATTAGATAAACGAGAGGTTGCCAATGGAGGATGGGATTTTACCTGTTAAATGATTCAACCTGAGGTATAATCTTCAAGATTTCCTATGGAAATAGGAATTTCACCAACAAGGACATTACCCTTCACATCCATAATTTTTTTAAAGATTTCCTATGGACCCTTTCGGGTTAATCTAGGTGACTTGTAAGATGGGGCATTTGCAAGCTCCACATATTTTTTTCTCTGAGAAGATTTGCATAATTTTATTAGCTGTCTAAAATGTCTTCTACTTCCCTAACTTGTCTCCCTCTTATTAGTCAAAGGACCAACTCTTGGTATCACATATTTTTTTCCCTGGAGATAACCAACTGATGAGAAGATTTGCAGACTTTTATTAGCTGTCTAAAATGTCTTCTACTGCTCTAACTTCTCTCCCTCTTATTAGCCAAAGGACCAACTCTTGGTATCACTTTCATGCACGCTAATTAAGCCTTCAAATTGATGGTAAAAAAATGCGTGATTATATAGAAAATGGGCAATGTCACCTTCAGAGACTCCCACAAATTATGCAGGATAAGTACTGTTCCCATCAATCTATAGCTGTGACCCTACTAAGATTATCCACCATAGAATCCAGCGTTTACTTGACAAGTCTCCCACTGTGATTTCCTTCAACTTGCTTGGTTTAGCAAGCCCCGTAGTTGGAGGAAATCAGTCTCTTTTCCTTGGGTTTAATCATTAATATTCGATTTATTGATCTATTAATTCTAATTGAATACTGTAAAGGTTTATTATAGAGACGTTGAGAGTCGTTCGTTCCCGCACAAAGTCGGTCAAAAAAAGGTAAAGCTCATTATGGAAGAAGCATTGACCATAAAGACCAACCCCAAGTAGAGACTTACCTAACTAAAGCAGGGACCCATGGAAACCATTGCCACACGACTTTCTAAGTTGGAAAAATTGAACCACTTAAGAGGAGAGAGAAAATGATACTATCAGAGTTCAAAAACTGCTTATATTAACTCTAATTCTTCATCAATTCATTCAGGATCATGAAGCTATCAAAAATGCATTTTGAAGCATCAACCTCTTTTCTCCTTGTTTACATTGAAGTTATAATTCTTCTCTCATGCTTCAACTTGCAGGGTCTTAACTTGCTTGGTTTAGCAGCAACTCCTGTGGCTAGAGGAAATGACACTGATCAACGAGCTCTATTCCAGTTCAAAGCAATGATAACTGGAGATCAGCTTGGGGTTATGGAGTCTTGGAATAGTTTCATTCACTTCTGTCAGTGGAATGGTGTTACATGCGGTCGCAAGCATCAGAGAGTCACCGAGTTGGAGCTGCAATTCAACAGTCTCTCGGGGATATTTATCACCATATATTGGAAATTTGAGCTTTCTTAGGGAGTTGAATCTTGCTGGCAAAAGCTTTTACAACAATATTCCTCAAGAAATTGGTCATTTAAGAAGACTGGAAATATTAGATATGACCAATAACTCCATCAGTGGTGAAATTCCCTCCAATATATCATCCAGGCTTACAAGATTTAATATGAGAGGCAACCGACTAACAGGAGAAATACCTGCTTTTCTGGGTCACTTGTCAAACCTGAAATTCTTGAGTTTCGCCAACAACAGTCTGAGAGGGAGCATCCCACCTTCATTGGGGAACTTGTCATCCATACAGACACTTGTTTTGATGGCTAATGAATTAACTGGGATTCTACCTGAAGCATTGGGGCAACTGACAAATCTTTCAGGTTTCTCCATAGCCGGAAATACAATTTCTGGTATTCTTCCAATCTCAATGTTCAATCTGTCCAATATTATAATCTTTGATATTGGTAGAAACAAGATTCAAGGTACTTTTCATTCTGACTTGGAAATCAATATGCCACGTGTTGAATTCTTTTCTGTACAAGGAAATCAAATCTCTGGACAAATCCCGATTTCAATATCCAATGCTTCAGAACTGAATGTACTTCAATTTCAGGATAACAGACTTCATGGAAATGTGCCTTCGCTAGAAAAGTTGGATAGCCTATTTAGAGTTAACCTAGGCTCAAACCATTTGGGACATGGGAAAGAAGGTGACTTGAATTTTCTCTGTGCTTTAGCCAATAACACCAAACTAGAAAGTCTATACGTATACGACAATAATTTTGGAGGGGTATTTCCTGAATGCATTAACAATTTTTCTAGCACTCTTTTGCATTTAGAAATAGATGAGAACAAAATATCAGGAATAATTCCAAATGGGATTGGAAATCTTATCAATTTGGAGGTGCTATCAGCATCAACAAACCAACTGTCCAGTTTCATCCCCTTTGATGTTGGGAGGCTTCAGAAGTTAAATATATATTTATTCTTGAGGATAATTTTCTCTCTGGCATTATCCCCCATTCTATTGGGAATTTAACATTGCTAACCAAAATTGCTTTACATGGTAACAATTTTCAGGGTAGCATTCCTGCAAGTCTAGGTAAGTGCCAAAATCTACTCACAATGGATCTTTCTGACAACAATATTAGTGGAACCATTCCCCCTCAAGTATTCCGGCTATCATCCATGTCCATTGCATTAGACTTGTCATCAAACTATTTGACTGGTGAGCTCCCTCTTGAAAATAGAAAATCTGAAAAATCTAGGTGTATTAGATGTTTCTCAAAATAGGTTATCTGGTTTACTTCCAAACAACCTTGGTAGTTGTGTAAGTCTAGAGAAGTTGTTCTTGGATGGCAATATGTTTGAAGGGCCCATTCCTCCATCGTTGAGTTCATTGAGAGGACTTGTAGAGTTGGACTTATCTGACAATAATCTTTCAGGTGGGATTCCGAAATTTCTCGTGAGTTTTAGGGCATTAAAGTATTTAAATCTCTCTTTCAATGATTTTGAGGGAGTGATACCAACTGAAGGAATATTTAAGAATACAAGTGCTACGTTCGTTGAGAGAAACAATAAGATTTGTGGAGGCATCCCTGAGTTACACTTGCCCAGATGTTACTCGAAAAGATCATCAAAGACTTACTCAAAAATTGCAGTTGTTATTGTGATTTTAGCAGTGACTTTGGTTTCCACTTCTCTCCTCATCTTGTTGTTTAGAAAAAAGAAAGAGCAGCCAACAATTATTTGTGCCGAGAATTCCCTTTTACAATTATCATACCAAAGCATCCTAAAGGCCACTGATGGATTCTCCATGCAGAATTTGCTTGGATCTGGAAGCTATGGTTCCGTATACAAAGGAAGTATTGTAGAGAGTGGAGCAACTATTGCAATTAAGGTGTTTAATCTTATGAATCAAAGAGCTTCTAGGAGTTTCTTGACTGAATGTGAGGCCTTGAAGAACATTCGACATCGGAATCTTGTCAAGGTATTAACAGCCATTTCAGGTGTTGATTACCAAGGTAATGATTTTAAAGCGTTGGTTTATGAGTTCATGGTAAATGGAAGCTTGGAGAACTGGCTGCATCCATCTATTGCCATCAATGAAGCAGAGACGATGAGAAACCTAAACTTCTTCCAAAGAGTTAGTGTGTCAATCGATGTTGCTCACGCACTTGAATATCTTCACCACCATTGTGAAACATCAATCATTCATTGCGATCTTAAGCCAAGCAATATTCTACTAGATGAGGCGATGATTGGCCATCTAAGTGACTTTGGCTTGGCAAAAATCCTTTCTGCAGACATTCTTAACTATTCTTCTCATCAGTCAAGCTCCCTTGGATTAAGAGGAACTATTGGTTATACTCCACCAGGTCAGTTAACGTATCCATTTCTTCCAATTTTATAATCATTGTTTATATACTTTTATCTTGACATAATCTAAAAGCAAAACATATAACTCAAAGCATGGATGTCATAGGCTATCTAAATACTTTTTGAGGATCCATTTCCGGTTATTACTATATGATTTGTGATAAATTATTGTAGAATATGCTATGGGATGCAAGTTGTCAACAAAAGGTGATGTGTATAGCTATGGCGTTCTCTTGTTAGAAATGTTTACGGGGAAAAGGCCGACTCACGATATGTTCAAAGAAGGTTTCAGCATTCACAACTTTGTTGCGGCAGCTTTGCCTGATCGGGTGACTGAAATTATTGATCCCATTCTTCTTCAAGAGAGGTCTACACAAGGAAGAATTGCAGATGTCACTCTTAATCACAAACATCTTCAACACTTGAATTCAATATTTGAAGTAGCACTCATTTGTTCTGCTGAATCACCTACTGCGCGGATGGACATGGATGATGTCGTTTCCAAGCTTTGTTCTATTAGAGACAAGCTTCTCCGTCCAACTCGCTCTCGTCATTAGGAAGAAACTTTATATGCTGCTCAATCTGCAGGTATACTATAAGGTGTTCTTATGCTGTAGTAATCATATTGCATTGTTCTTAACAAAATGATCTGTCACTACATGACTTAAGGCACATAAGATTAAATTACTTTTCAGACAAATGCTTTATTCCAATCATGTTGGCTACATTTGACAAAATATATCTGATGGTTTAGACATTTTCTTAATTTCATGTGCTGCAGGTACCTAAGGCGTGCCATAATATTAATGGACTTGAGAGGCTTAGGTCAGGCAAAGTGCAGCTATTCTCTTTTATTCTCATTGCATTTGGTATTTGCAGGACTATTGTTTTCCCCAAAGAAAATCTGCTTTGAGAATATATGTAATTATACACTGTATCTATATATATATCGTGTGTGCCAAATACTAGTGAGATGCAATCTGATCATTTGATCATATTACGGGTGAAAATATTTAGTATAAATTACACTCAAGATCACTTATTATGGATTCGATAACAACCATGTCACTCTTTTTTCTAAAGGTTACAAACAGGTAATTCAATAAAAATATTGTTATAAGTAGATCGTAATAATAACAAGGTTATGCAAGCAAACCTAGTTAGCTTGCTCGTATCATTATTCTAACATTGATCTTAACAAACAGTGTTGTGCTTGGTTTCGTTTGTTTGGCCATAAATGGCTTGCACCTTGGTTCAGTAACTAGAATTTCACAATCAGAGAACATGGTGTTTGCGATGTTGTCTTGTATCATAAAATGCTTTAATAATTTGGCAGATTACCTGATTTGAAAGACATGTTCGCAGGCTTTAACAGTCGTATTGTTGCTTAACTATAAAACAGACATTCCACATGGTCTCCAAGGTGATCATAGGCAAAGGGTAAATCTTTCTTAAACACATGTTTGATCTTTGTACTTGTGATTATTATTGTCATAACCATTTTTCTTTGAAAAAATAATTAAATATTATTTTAAAAAACAGTTATAATTTTTATTTGGAAAAATTTGATGATTTTGGAATTGATTTGAATTAAATAGGATAGGGAGTCGTCATCGACCTTTGGGTCAGTAGCTCGAATACCTAAAAACGTCTTTTAAAACAATTTTAAGAAAAAATCATTTTTTAAGACAAGAAAAGGTCTGCGTTTACCAAAAATTTGATTTGATGGGTTCGAGAGTCGATTACGCGTGGGGAAGGGTAAGCACCCCCACAACGCCCAAAATTGGTACTGTGTTGCTTACACTTAGTCGTAAAATGGTGGAAATCATAAATCGAAAATAAAGTTAAAATAAGATCCTTTAATTGAACATTAATTAATTTGCTTCGAAATAATTAATTAGAAAAAATTCTTTAACTTGAAAAGAAATCTCGAGATTAGCAACCCTCCGTTGGGAAAGTTATTTCGACTACTTCTTATCCGTAAAGAATATTCTCTCTTCGATAAAATGTGAATCGAATATAACTTGAAAATCAACATTTTTCATACAACAAAACAAATTGTTATTTACTTTACCATGCATTGCATTATTTGAATTAAAACAAATTGATTAGTGCTAAAAATAACTTCAATTTATTTCAAGTTCACATTTCGTTCGAATGTCGTATCAGATTACACCACTTCGATCAAGTGATGCTTTCCACACCTATTCTACAAATCGGTGTTCTTGAAAATATTCGAATAAAATTTAGTTAATAAATAAGCATTTATAATAACTAACAAATATATACATAAACATGTAGGTTAAAAATTAACATCATATATACTCATGCATACATATTAGTGACATAAGCTATAATTTACAAACATGATGAATTAGAATACAAATAAAATCCAATCATACATATTAAATAAGGACTAAATAACAAGAACAACAAATTTTAGAGGCATAATAATAAACATATAACAAGTCATGGCTAATATACCAATATAACATAACATGAGTATTAAAACAAAACAAAATTAAATTACAGAGCCTATTGTGTGATAATTACAGGACTAAAACTTAATATAGTCAAACATAGGGGATTAAACTGGGAATAAAATCAAAGTTATCTAAAGTCAAAGTTAGTGACTAAAACAAAAGAAACAGAAAGTAAAATACCGAAATTAAAAATAAATAAAACAGGGAATATAACATGTTAGTGACTAAATTGAAACAAATGTAAAAATAAGATCTTAGAATCAAATGATAAAATAAATGAGGAAATGGTGGCTAAATTAAAATAAATGCAAATAAAGTGTCATAAATAAAATAAAATGAAACATAGAAATGACCAAAATAAAACAAAACATAATATGGAGCTTAAATCAAAATAAACAATAAAAGATCAATATAGTGACCTAAACGTAAAAGCAAGCTAAACATAAAGGGATTAAACTAAAAATAACCCTAAAGATATATAACAAACATAAAAAAGGGGAAAATCACAAAAACAATACCTAACTATTAAAAAATATTTAAATAGTCACCACACATGATCAAAATGCAAAACACGCCTAAAAGTAAAGGGACCTAACAACAATTAAACCAAACATATATATCATGAACAAGAAATGGGTAAATTACAAAAACAGTCCCTATAAGTGACTAACATACAAAAACACGCTAAACATAGGGGGATCTAAATGTAATTTTCCCCTAAAGTTTTCTATAAATAACATTCTATTTTTTTTATTTTCATTTCATTTTTCTAAATTATTTTTAGAGAGATATGGTCTCCCCTCTCTCTAGAAAATTGATGGGTGTCCAGCCACTCACCTTCACCGACTGTCGTGCCGTCTGTCGCCGGTGGTCGATGGCCACCAAATTACACTAAGAAGTCCGTCTCGGCCTCCCCGTCTCCGATCCAGGGTCGATTTCACGAGAATCGGCCCCAAACTTCACGAATCTAGCCGAAATCATTCAACCTTTCTCTCCCCGATCCACCGTCGTCCGCCGTTAAATCGCCTCCATTTTTCAAGTATATTGTTCTTCTCACCAATACGCACCTCCTCACCGTTCGGATCGTCAATCGGAGGTCCTCCTCCCCGACAAGGTGCTCGACCGAAGGTAATATATATATATATATATATCTCGAATGAAAAGGAAAGAATGGAAACAAATTGCTAAATTGTTTTTTATTATTCATGTTCGGAAAAAGGAGAATTTTTTTTATATTGCTTTTCTTTTCAAATCGGGGTCCCTTCCCCTTTGCCATTACGTTGTTCTTTTTTCCCCGTAAAATAGGAACCCCTGCTCTTTTTTTTTTTGCTTTCCCCCTATCTCTATATTACAAATGTTCCACCTAAATAATAATTTGCTTGTTGATTTTTTGTTGATGTGTTTGGTGGCAATTGATGGTGTCGTGACTTGTGGAAATGGTGTCCTTGTTGCTGCAGCAGGGTATGACTTTGGTAGGACATGGGCACGGGGTATGGTTGTTGCAGGTGTAGGGGCATGGGGCTGTTGGGATTTGGCAACGGGTCGGTTCTGGATCTAGGTCGGATCCGGCTGGGTTCTGGGTCGAGTCTTGTAATTGGGCTTCAACTGGGTCAATAGCTTGTAATGATGGGTCGCTGGGCCTGCAAATTTTGTAATTAAATTTGGTTAATAATAATAATAATAATATTTTTGTAGATCCGGATAAAAACAGATGTCTACAGTTGCCCCTCTTTACACATTCTTGTGTTAACAAGAATAGGGCAATGATGAAAAAGACAATCAATTTTTGTCCGATTCTCTTTTTTTTGGTTTTGAAATTGGATATGTTTGTTGTTGGGGACGACACTGCTCCTATGTGATGAAGAGTTCTGGTCATCTAAGAATGACACGACTCCTACGTTATGAGGAGATCTGGTCGGTGGATGACACAGTTCCTAAACGATGAGGATGACTGACCATCTTTAAAAAAGGTGATAACTCGGTTCTTACGCGATGAGCACGACTGATTATTCAATGCTGACACAACTCTTACGTGATGAGGAGATCTAAATATCCAATAATTAAAAGTTTTTCTTATCTATAAAAACACAAGAACCATATATATCAGAACATGCCCAAAGTGAAAATTGTTATTATTTTCCTTTTCTTTTTGTCATTTTATTTAGAAAAAGTGCTACAAAGTGTAACTTAAAATAAAATTAGATAAAGGAAAGTGATGAGAACACAGCAAAAAAAAGAATAAAAATAGTGCACTTTTCAACTTTTAGATATTTTTTATATTCCAAGATATTTTGCTGCCACCTACTGCCCTTTTTTGACAAAAAGGGTACAGCCTAAGATATTTCTAATGAGCATTCATAACCACTCTCGTGAAAGTCAAGTGGTTTTCACCCTCGACATCTTTTGAGCCAGATCTGAATCTTTTTTTACGATAAAAAAATATTTAATGGTTGCTTTCGTGATAAGTGAAAATTAATAAAATATTTGATATCGATTTAAGATTAGAATCATTATCGGTACTAACTATTAACGCACGTGACAAATATTGCAGTTAACTAGCTGTACGAGAATATAAATGTTTTCGTTACACTGCTTTTGGTGGCGCGTGAAAAGCAGCTTTCTTCAAAGTTGCAACCCTTTTCGGGTTCTATCCATGGTGACCCGATCCTAGTCCTTCTACAATTTATACCCCACAGCTCCTCTCCCCCTTCTCCCAGTGCATTTCTTCTACGACTCAAACCCTAAAACATGCTCTCATCGTCGTTGTAGCCTTCCTTTCCTACATGGAAGTGTGAAAAACTCCAATTTCTACAAGAGAAAAAAAGATTAAAAAAAAACCATGGCCAACAACCCGAGAAACAACGCCAACAAGAAACTGAAGCATCATTGGAACCATGATTCCGATGTTGTCGAGGGAAACCCCGAGGTATGGGCAACGCTGGACAAGAATTTCAAGCAGGTGCAGTCGGTTTTAGACCGGAACCGGGCGTTGATCCAACAGGTCAACGAGAATCACCAGTCCAAGATCCCAGACAACATGGTCAGAAACGTGGCACTGATTCAGGAACTCAATGGCAACATTTCCAAGGTTGTCTCTCTTTACTCTGATATGTCTTCCAATTTCTCCTCTGCGTTTCAGCAACAACACAGCAACGGGGACAACAGGGACGACTGAAACTTTCGTTATTATTAATAATAAAAATAATACTATATAAATAATAATAAAAAAGAGTATTTTTAGGTGTCTTGTTTGCTGCTCGGTTGGGTATTTTTAGGTGTCTTGTTTGCTGCTCGGTTTATCTGAAATAATTCCTTTGGGAACTTGTTTGAGATAATTGCTGGGGTTCATGTTTTTTGTTTTGTAATGGCTTATGATCGAGTTGTTTTGATATGTTACTGTTTAGTTCGGTCGTAATTGCAGACCACGGTCGCTCAAGGCTTTATGACCTGCATGAGTACCAAAGGGTGCTCGAGGCTCGGTGATAAAACCTCGAGAGACATTCTAAAATATGAACATAGCTTCGTGAATAACATCAAATCAACAATGAAAAGATGTTCGAAACCCGGTCGATAAATCATTTCTAGGATATGGCAGTAAGCAAGCAACTGATGTATGCTCTATAAAGGGAATATTATCAATTAAAACAGACTCTAAACGTTTGCATTCAGTTGAAACAAAATGTGTAAATTATAAAGGCATCTCGCCGCTATCTACAATGACAACTTTAGATTTCGGCACACCACTCTTGTTTCCTTCGGCTTCTATCTTGAAGATGACATCTATTCCGGTAATCACTTTGCCAAATACGACATGATGCCCGTCCAACCTTTCAACGAAAATCAATAGCACACATGCGTGTGAGCTTCGGAAAATCTCAAACTATTACAGGATAGCAGTTTTTAACTTGTGACCCCTCAACAACAATTTGAAGTTTTGAACTACGAAAAGTGCATGCGTAAATAGCAACATGGTTGAAGTTATTTGGTCACGAGATAAGAAAAACTTCAATTTGCTCTAAATATTTCCATATATTTGGAGGATCAGACTCTCATCTCTATATCTGAATATGCATCAAACATATATGACGGTTACGTGTAGTTTTAAAAAGAAACATAGATAAAAAGTTTGAAGACAAGTCAAATACCAGCTAGTTGTTACCGTTGTGATGAAGAATTGTGATCCATTGGTGTTATTCCCAGCATTGGCCATCGAAAGCCGTCCTGCTCATAATGAAAAAGATTCATAAGTAAATAACCAGTAATATGCTTCTTATAATGAGTAAAAATCCTTTTATAGAAAGAACGTGTTCAAGGAAACTTATATGCCATATAAGAATCACAAACAACTCACCAGGCACATTATGCTTAAGCTTGAAATTCTCATCAGCAAACTTTTCACCATATATAGATTCTCCACCTCGTCCATTGCCATGAGTAAAGTCACCACCCTGGATCATAAAGCTGGGAATAATTCTATGGAAAGTGCTCCCTTTGTAATGAAGAGGCTTCCCGCTTTTCCCGGTTCCTTTCTCCCCTGTTAGACAAGGAACAAATATATGTAGGCAGCTAAAAGTAGTGAGTTTTCCTGGTTAACTAATCAGAGCTAAAAAAAAAGTCGAGCATCAAACTGAAGCATAGATACACTGTTCAATCGATTTGGCAGTCACCTTTCTTTCACAAACTAAAATTTCAAATACCGCACGTTTATATACATGTAGATATTATCATCCAATACATCAAAACTTCACAACAATACTCATAATTGGTATTCATGCATTTTTTTTATAGTGTTAAGGCCTGCTAAATAACACTATAGTACTCTCAAATAAAGGTTTGTCTTAATAAACAAAGATTATATTTTTCATTAACTACCTAAACAACCAAAGATGCAAATAGGCAGATAAGATAGTTAGAATGTTAAGGTCCAGAATACGATGAGGCATACTGAGATTGAGAAAAAGGCAACCCAGCCATTACCAAAAACTTCCAGGAACAGATGTCGTTTTTAAGTTTACATGCTAATTATGCGAAGATAAGCTTCTTTTATGAGTGAAAAATACACCAATAATAAAAGATTATCACTTTATTACAGAAAACTTCACTAAACCGTTGCAATCTTACCAAGATATTGTATTGCCTGCTTGGTGCTAATGAGAAATAAATCACATTACTTAGTGCACATATAGGGAATTCGAGCACTAAAAACATACAAAGTTCCAATATAAGAGGAATAAACGTTACTACGCTACCTGTGCAAAGGGCGAGGAAGTTCTCTGCAAAAAGAAAAAAATTATGACTCGTAACAACCGACAAGTAATAGCACAATCTTTTCATGGAAAGGTCAAAGAACTGCAAAATCTCTGAGCTATTCACCTGCAGTTTTAGGAACGGTTTTGCCGAATAGGCCCATGACTATTCGACCTGAAAGCAAAAATGAAAGAACAAGGAGCCTTCTAAAGCAATAACAGAATCAAGAAAGACTAAATCTGAGAGAAACCGAAATCCGACATCTAAACTAAAACTGAGAGAAACTGAAATCTAACATCTGAATTTCCAACCAATGATTTCATGTTGTATAATACAACAAAAAGACTAAATTTATAATTCAGCTATCAATTAAATCCCAGTTTTATAGAAATCAAACAAAAGCATACCAGCAGATTTTCCATCAATATGGACATCGAAGTACACTTTATGTGTAATTTCTTCTGTATCGTCCTCAAAGCCCTAAAATTACATAGAAAGGGAGTGAAAAAAAACCCCAAATTCAATTCAATTACCTACGCTATAGATTCACAGATTAAAAAGGACGAATTACACAAATCAATTGGCAAACCTGATTAAGCTTGGGTTCGGAAACTCCAGCGTCGCTCAATCGATTCTAAAAACACCAAAAAGAAGGGGGGGGAACCCCATTTCTTTCACTTCTTTTTCTTCCGGTGTAAGGAAATAAAGAGGAGAGAAAAGGGTACCTGAATCAAAGCTAAGGTTCCAAAAAGAACCAGAATCCACAACGCCGCAACCGAAGCCAATCTCTTCTTGGTTGCCATATCTGCCTTCTGTTTTCAGCTGTTTCAATGTCGGAAAGGAAATATCAGTTGAAAACCGGTTACTGGGCTGGACTCTGTTTTTTATGTCTTGTGATCCCGGTAAATGTTAAAACTGATGAATAGGATGTTACCCAAATAAATATTAATTCGATAAAAATAATATTAAATCAAAATATAATGAAATAAATTAATGGATTAATAGATCAAACACATATTTTAAAACATGAAGAAAATATCAAAATCCGATCGAGTAAATCTCATTATCTTATAAAGATAATTAAAAAACTTTAGATATAAACAGTAAAACTGATGCAGAAATTAATTCGAGTAAACCTCGTTGTCTGAAAAGGATTTTAGAGGTTTCAGAAACATGTTCTACAAGGCTGCATTGAAACACAAGTAAGACATACGTACATATATATTCATATGCTTTCATCTTCTTCTATTCTTGATATCTGTCAAGTATCCAGACTCCGGTGTCGTCGCATTCGTTTATGTTCGAGCCTAGCTTTGCTGCCGGAAACATCTCTCGGGCTAAGGAGTAGAGCCTTATCCAGGGATCAATTCTGGCAAAACAAGGTCTTTTGCATCGTCCGATCTTCGAAGCCAAGGTTCTGATACGAAATCCATTTGTCCTTTCACAACCAGATTCTTCATTTGCCCTTCAGTTTCTGAAGTTCAGAAAGAATAAAGCAAAATGAAAATTATTGCTTTGGTATTATATTCACAACAACAACAGCAGTAGCTGATAATTGACAATAATTTACCTGCTTTAAACGGTAGATTGCCACCACTGAGCATTATATACAGTATAACTACGGCAGACCAAATATCGACTTTGGGTCTGTAATCATTATTAAGAAGCATCTCCGGAGCTATGTAGTTCGCCACGATATGAACAAAAAAGGGATCCTCGTAAACCCCTTTGATTCTCTCAATATCTTTCTGACCAGACAAATGTTACAGCACTTTAATCTCCCTCCTAATTTCCTCAACTTGCGTATTGAGTTTGAGTCTCTCTTTGGGTATCGACTTACGCACAAACTCCATGCCGGTGGCAATCTCTAGGATATAAAATCAGGTAATCGTTCATATTTCACTCGAATCATGTCAGGTCAGGTAAATTCTGATACAGGTAATGTCAAGTCAATTTGATGGTTCGACTCAAATCAAGTCAGATTCAGGTTAAATCAGTTCGGGTCATATTCAAGTTGATTTGACACCAGATTTAGTTCGGGTTCAGATCGAGTTAATTTCAGTTCGGATCAATGTCAGTTCAGGTCAAAATAATTCAGATCCAGAGGAGTTAAATACTAAGTTAATTCAGGTTCGAATGGACTTCAGTCGGATCTCGTTTAGTTCGGATCACATCATTGAAAGATAAAATTCAGGTCGGATCTTTACCAGATACAGATTAAGTTCAGGTCGGGTCATTTTTTATTTTTAGATTAATTATTTTTCGCCTTTCGTGAACGTTGAATTGCAATTTGTAATTGTATATGATTTAGAGTAAATTACTTCAAATATAAATAATCATGGATCAATTTTTATAAAAATATAAATTTAAGGACTAAATTGAACAAATATAAAATTACAAATAAAAATTTAAATAAATTAAACAACACATATTGACGAGAGATCAAATCAAAATAATTTTAAAATGTGAGGTTGAAATTAATATAAACTAAATTATGCCAAAAGTTATGAGCCAAGTACAAAAATATAAATAAGAAATAAGTATAGGCCTATTTCAGATGCAAATATAATTTTAAGGACTAAATTGAACAAATATTAAATTAGAAATAAAAACTAAATAACACAAAAGGATCAAATCGAAATAGTTGTAAAATATGAATAAAATCTGTAAAATAGACTAAATTACATTCATTTCAAAAGTTGAGAAAAAAATTAAAACAATTATAATATATTAATTTATATGTAAACTTATAATAATATAGTATGTATAAACTATATAGTTAAACTATAAAAACTATATAGTTTATATATAAAACATACATAAACCATATATAAACTATATATATAGTTTTTATTAATAAACCATATAGTTTATATAGCTTATATATAAACTCTATATAAACGATAAAATTTATAACTATATACTATATATAACTATAAACTATATATACTATATATATATAGACTATATGATGCATGTATATAGTTATACTTAGATATATATGTTATATATGTTATACTTAGATATGTATGTATCATGTATGTTATACATATGTATGTATCATGTATCATGTATCATGTATCATGTATCATGTATCATGTCTATATATTATATTTAGATATGTATGTTATATATGTTAGATATGTATGTATCATGTCTGACATACATATGTATATATATGATGCATGTATATATGATATACTCAAATATATGAATATATGTATAATGCATGTATATATGTATGATGTATGTATGAGTATGATGGATGTATATATTTACATGTATGTATGATAAATGTATATATATGTCATATTTTTATTTTATAATAAAATAAAATTAAACATAATAGAAAAATTTATCAAAATATGATAGATTATAAATAATAACATTTTAAATAATATAATGTAGGATTAAACTAAAA